CGACAGTCGGGAATTACCCAAACACAGCGTCTCAGACAGAAGACTGGCATCAATCAACTCCACCTGCGTGGGAAGCATCAACCAAATTCTCGACGAGAGTGACAGCAGACGTAGACCGGCAGACGACAGTCGGGAATTACCCAAACACAGCGTCTCAGACAGAAGACTGGCATCAATCAACTCCACCTGCGTGGGAAGCATCAACCAAATTCCCGACGAGAGTGACAACAGACGTAGACCGGCAGGCGACAGTCGGGAATTACCCAAACACAGCGTCTCAGTCAGAAGACTGGCATCAATCAACTCCACCTGCGTGGGAAGCATCAACCAAATTCCCGACGAGAGTGACTACAGACGTAGACCGGCAGGCGACAGTCGGGAATTACCCAAACACAGCGTCTCAGTCAGAAGACTGGCATCAATCAACTCCACCTGCATGGGAGGCATCAACCAAATTCCCGACGAGAGTGACTACAGACGTAGACCGGCAGACGACAGTCGGGAATTACCCAAACACAGCGTCTCAGTCAGAAGACTGGCATCAATCAACTCCACCTGCGTGGGAAGCATCAACCAAATTCCCGACGAGAGTGACTACAGACGTAGACCGGCAGGCGACAGTCGGGAATTACCCAAACACAGCGTCTCAGACAGAAGACTGGCATCAATCAACTCCACCTGCGTGGGAAGCATCAACCAAATTCCCGACGAGAGTGACTACAGACGTAGACCGGCAGGCGACAGTCGGGAATTACCCAAACACAGCGTCTCAGACAGAAGACTGGCATCAATCAACTCCACCTGCGTGGGAAGCATCAACCAAATTCCCGACGAGAGTGACAACAGACGTAGACCGGCAGACGACAGTCGGGAATTACCCAAACACAGCGTCTCAGACAGAAGACTGGCATCAATCAACTCCACCTGCGTGGGAAGCATCAACCAAATTCCCGACGAGAGTGACTACAGACGTAGACCGGCAGGCGACAGTCGGGAATTACCCAAACACAGCGTCTCAGACAGAAGACTGGCATCAATCAACTCCACCTGCGTGGGAAGCATCAACCAAATTCCCGACGAGAGTGACTACAGACGTAGACCGGCAGACGACAGTCGGGAATTACCCAAACACAGCGTCTCAGACAGAAGACTGGCATCAATCAACTCCACCTGCGTGGGAAGCATCAACCAAATTCCCGACGAGAGTGACTACAGACGTAGACCGGCAGACGACAGTCGGGAATTACCCAAACACAGCGTCTCAGACAGAAGACTGGCATCAATCAACTCCACCTGCGTGGGAAGCATCAACCAAATTCCCGACGAGAGTGACTACAGACGTAGACCGGCAGGCGACAGTCGGGAATTACCCAAACACAGCGTCTCAGACAGAAGACTGGCATCAATCAACTCCACCTGCGTGGGAAGCATCAACCAAATTCCCGACGAGAGTGACAACAGACGTAGACCGGCAGGCGACAGTCGGGAATTACCCAAACACAGCGTCTCAGTCAGAAGACTGGCATCAATCAACTCCACCTGCATGGGAGGCATCAACCAAATTCCCGACGAGAGTGACTACAGACGTAGACCGGCAGACGACAGTCGGGAATTACCCAAACACAGCGTCTCAGTCAGAAGACTGGCATCAATCAACTCCACCTGCATGGGAGGCATCAACCAAATTCCCGACGAGAGTGACTACAGACGTAGACCGGCAGGCGACAGTCGGGAATTACCCAAACACAGCGTCTCAGTCAGAAGACTGGCATCAATCAACTCCACCTGCATGGGAGCCATCAACCAAATTCTCGACGAGAGTGACAGCAGACGTAGACCGGCAGGCGACAGTCGGGAATTACCCAAACACAGCGTCTCAGACAGAAGACTGGCATCAATCAACTCCACCTGCGTGGGAAGCATCAACCAAATTCCCGACGAGAGTGACTACAGACGTAGACCGGCAGGCGACAGTCGGGAATTACCCAAACACAGCGTCTCAGACAGAAGACTGGCATCAATCAACTCCACCTGCGTGGGAAGCATACACCAAATTCCCGACGAGAGTGACTACAGACGTAGACCGGCAGACGACAGTCGGGAATTACCCAAACACAGCGTCTCAGTCAGAAGACTGGCATCAATCAACTCCACCTGCATGGGAGGCATCAACCAAATTCCCGACGAGAGTGACTACAGACGTAGACCGGCAGACGACAGTCGGGAATTACCCAAACACAGCGTCTCAGACAGAAGACTGGCATCAATCAACTCCACCTGCGTGGGAAGCATCAACCAAATTCCCGACGAGAGTGACTACAGACGTAGACCGGCAGGCGACAGTCGGGAATTACCCAAACACAGCGTCTCAGACAGAAGACTGGCATCAATCAACTCCACCTGCGTGGGAAGCATACACCAAATTCCCGACGAGAGTGACTACAGACGTAGACCGGCAGGCGACAGTCGGGAATTACCCAAACACAGCGTCTCAGTCAGAAGACTGGCATCAATCAACTCCACCTGCATGGGAGGCATCAACCAAATTCCCGACGAGAGTGACTACAGACGTAGACCGGCAGACGACAGTCGGGAATTACCCAAACACAGCGTCTCAGTCAGAAGACTGGCATCAATCAACTCCACCTGCATGGGAGGCATCAACCAAATTCCCGACGAGAGTGACTACAGACGTAGACCGGCAGGCGACAGTCGGGAATTACCCAAACACAGCGTCTCAGTCAGAAGACTGGCATCAATCAACTCCACCTGCATGGGAGCCATCAACCAAATTCTCGACGAGAGTGACAGCAGACGTAGACCGGCAGGCGACAGTCGGGAATTACCCAAACACAGCGTCTCAGACAGAAGACTGGCATCAATCAACTCCACCTGCGTGGGAAGCATCAACCAAATTCCCGACGAGAGTGACTACAGACGTAGACCGGCAGGCGACAGTCGGGAATTACCCAAACACAGCGTCTCAGTCAGAAGACTGGCATCAATCAACTCCACCTGCGTGGGAAGCATACACCAAATTCCCGACGAGAGTGACAACAGACGTAGACCGGCAGACGACAGTCGGGAATTACCCAAACACAGCGTCTCAGTCAGAAGACTGGCATCAATCAACTCCACCTGCATGGGAGGCATCAACCAAATTCCCGACGAGAGTGACAACAGACGTAGACCGGCAGACGACAGTCGGGAATTACCCAAACACAGCGTCTCAGACAGAAGACTGGCATCAATCAACTCCACCTGCGTGGGAAGCATCAACCAAATTCCCGACGAGAGTGACAACAGACGTAGACCGGCAGACGACAGTCGGGAATTACCCAAACACAGCGTCTCAGTCAGAAGACTGGCATCAATCAACTCCACCTGCATGGGAGGCATCAACCAAATTCCCGACGAGAGTGACAACAGACGTAGACCGGCAGACGACAGTCGGGAATTACCCAAACACAGCGTCTCAGTCAGAAGACTGGCATCAATCAACTCCACCTGCATGGGAGGCATCAACCAAATTCCCGACGAGAGTGACAACAGACGTAGACCGGCAGACGACAGTCGGGAATTACCCAAACACAGCGTCTCAGACAGAAGACTGGCATCAATCAACTCCACCTGCGTGGGAAGCATCAACCAAATTCCCGACGAGAGTGACTACAGACGTAGACCGGCAGGCGACAGTCGGGAATTACCCAAACACAGCGTCTCAGTCAGAAGACTGGCATTACTCAACTCCTCCTGCTTGGGAAGCATCAACCAAATTCCCGACGAGAGTGACAGCAGACGTAGACCGGCAGACGACAGTCGGGAATTACCCAAGCACAGCGTCTCAGTCAGAAGACTGGCATCAATCAACTCCACCTGCATGGGAGCCATCAACCAAATTCTCGACGAGAGTGACAGCAGACGTAGACCGGCAGGCGACAGTCGGGAATTACCCAAACACAGCGTCTCAGACAGAAGACTGGCATCAATCAACTCCATCTGCATGGGAGCCATCAACCAAATTCTCGCCGGGAGTGACTACAGACGTAGACCGGCAGGCGACAGTCGGGAATTACCCAAACACAGCGTCTCAGACAGAAGACTGGCATCAATCAACTCCACCTGCATGGGAGGCATCAACCAAATTCCCGACGAGAGTGACACCAGACGTAGACCGGCAGACGACAGTCAGGAATTACCCAAGCACAGCGTCTCAGTCAGAAAACTGGCATTACTCAACTCCTCCTGCTTGGGAAGCATCAACCAAATTCCCGACGAAAGTGACAACAGACGTAGACCGACAGACGACAGTCGGGAATTACCCAAACAGAGCGTCTCAGTCAGAAGACTGGCATCAATCAACTCCACCTGCATGGGAGGCATCAACCAAATTCCCGACGAGAGTGACAACAGACGTAGACCGGCAGACGACAGTCAGGAATTACCCAAGCACAGCGTCTCAGTCAGAAAACTGGCATTACTCAACTCCTCCTGCTTGGGAAGCATCAACCAAATTCCCGACGAAAGTGACAACAGACGTAGACCGACAGACGACAGTCGGGAATTACCCAAACACAGCGTCTCAGACAGAAGACTGGCATCAATCAACTCCACCTGCATGGGAGGCATCAACCAAATTCCCGACGAGAGTGACAACAGACGTAGACCGGCAGACGACAGTCAGGAATTACCCAAGCACAGCGTCTCAGTCAGAAAACTGGCATTACTCAACTCCTCCTGCTTGGGAAGCATCAACCAAATTCCCGACGAAAGTGACAACAGACGTAGACCGGCAGGCGACAGTCGGGAATTACCCAAACACAGCGTCTCAGACAGAAGACTGGCATCAATCAACTCCATCTGCATGGGAGCCATCAACCAAATTCTCGCCGGGAGTGACTACAGACGTAGACCGGCAGGCGACAGTCGGGAATTACCCAAACAGAGCGTCTCAGCCAGAAGACTGGCATCAATCAACTCCACCTGCATGGGAGGCATCAACCAAATTCCCGACGAGAGTGACAACAGACGTAGACCGGCAGACGACAGTCAGGAATTACCCAAGCACAGCGTCTCAGTCAGAAAACTGGCATTACTCAACTCCTCCTGCTTGGGAAGCATCAACCATATTCCCGACGAAAGTGACAACAGACGTAGACCGACAGACGACAGTCGGGAATTACCCAAACAGAGCGTCTCAGTCAGAAGACTGGCATCAATCAACTCCACCTGCTTGGGAAGCGTCAACCAAATTCCCGACGAGAGTGGCAACAGACGTAGACCGGCAGACGACAGTCGGGAATTACCCAAGCACAGCGTCTCAGTCAGAAGACTGGCATCAATCAACTCCATCTGCATGGGAGCCATCAACCAAATTCTCGCCGGGAGTGACTACAGACGTAGACCGGCAGGCGACAGTCGGGAATTACCCAAACAGAGCGTCTCAGCCAGAAGACTGGCATCAATCAACTCCACCTGCATGGGAGGCATCAACCAAATTCCCGACGAGAGTGACAACAGACGTAGACCGGCAGACGACAGTCGGGAATTACCCAAGCACCGCGTCTCAGTCAGAAAACTGGCATTACTCAACTCCTCCTGCTTGGGAAGCATCGACCGAATTCCCGACGAGAGTGACAACAGACGTAGACCGGCAGACGACAGTCGGGAATTACCCAAACAGAGCGTCTCAGTCAGAAGACTGGCATCAATCAACTCCACCTGCTTGGGAAGCGTCAACCAAATTCCCGACGAGAGTGGCAACAGACGTAGACCGGCAGACGACAGTCGGGAATTACCCAAACACAGCGTCTCAGACAGAAGACTGGCATCAATCAACTCCATCTGCATGGGAGCCATCAACCAAATTCTCGCCGGGAGTGACTACAGACGTAGACCGGCAGGCGACAGTCGGGAATTACCCAAACAGAGCGTCTCAGCCAGAAGACTGGCATCAATCAACTCCACCTGCATGGGAGGCATCAACCAAATTCCCGACGAGAGTGACAACAGACGTAGACCGGCAGACGACAGTCGGGAATTACCCAAGCACCGCGTCTCAGTCAGAAAACTGGCATTACTCAACTCCTCCTGCTTGGGAAGCATCGACCGAATTCCCGACGAGAGTGACAACAGACGTAGACCGGCAGACGACAGTCGGGAATTACCCAAACAGAGCGTCTCAGTCAGAAGACTGGCATCAATCAACTCCACCTGCTTGGGAAGCGTCAACCAAATTCCCGACGAGAGTGGCAACAGACGTAGACCGGCAGACGACAGTCGGGAATTACCCAAGCACAGCGTCTCAGTCAGAAGACTGGCATCAATCAACTCCACCTGCATGGGAGCCATCAACCAAATTCTCGACGAGAGTGACAGCAGACGTAGACCGGCAGGCGACAGTCGGGAATTACCCAAGCACAGCGTCTCAGTCGGAAAACTGGGATTACTCAACTCCTCCTGCTTGGGAAGCATCAACCAAATTCCCGACGAGAGTGACAGCAGACGTAGACCGGCAGACGACAGTCGGGAATTACCCAAACACAGCGTCTCAGACAGAAGACTGGCATCAATCAACTCCACCTGCGTGGGAAGCATCAACCAAATTCCCGACGAGAGTGACTACAGACGTAGACCGGCAGGCGACAGTCGGGAATTACCCAAACACAGCGTCTCAGTCAGAAGACTGGCATCAATCAACTCCACCTGCATGGGAGGCGTCAACCAAATTCCCGACGAGAGTGACAACAGACGTAGACCGGCAGACGACAGTCGGGAATTACCCAAGCACAGCGTCTCAGTCGGAAAACTGGGATTACTCAACTCCTCCTGCTTGGGAAGCATCAACCAAATTCCCGACGAGAGTGACAGCAGACGTAGACCGGCAGACGACAGTCGGGAATTACCCAAACACAGCGTCTCAGACAGAAGACTGGCATCAATCAACTCCACCTGCGTGGGAAGCATCAACCAAATTCCCGACGAGAGTGACTACAGACGTAGACCGGCAGGCGACAGTCGGGAATTACCCAAACACAGCGTCTCAGTCAGAAGACTGGCATCAATCAACTCCACCTGCATGGGAGGCATCAACCAAATTCCCGACGAGAGTGACAACAGACGTAGACCGGCAGACGACAGTCGGGAATTACCCAAACACAGCGTCTCAGACAGAAGACTGGCATCAATCAACTCCACCTGCGTGGGAAGCATCAACCAAATTCCCGACGAGAGTGACTACAGACGTAGACCGGCAGGCGACAGTCGGGAATTACCCAAACACAGCGTCTCAGTCAGAAGACTGGCATTACTCAACTCCTCCTGCTTGGGAAGCATCAACCAAATTCCCGACGAGAGTGACAGCAGACGTAGACCGGCAGACGACAGTCGGGAATTACCCAAGCACAGCGTCTCAGTCAGAAGACTGGCATCAATCAACTCCACCTGCATGGGAGCCATCAACCAAATTCCCGACGAGAGTGACTACAGACGTAGACCGGCAGACGACAGTCGGGAATTACCCAAACAGAGCGTCTCAGTCAGAAGACTGGCATCAATCAACTCCATCTGCATGGGAGCCATCAACCAAATTCCCGACGAGAGTGACAACAGACGTAGACCGGCAGACGACAGTCGGGAATTACCCAAACACAGCGTCTCAGACAGAAGACTGGCATCAATCAACTCCACCTGCATGGGAGGCATCAACCAAATTCCCGACGAAAGTGACAACAGACGTAGACCGACAGACGACAGTCGGGAATTACCCAAACAGAGCGTCTCAGTCAGAAGACTGGCATCAATCAACTCCACCTGCGTGGGAAGCATCAACCAAATTCCCGACGAGAGTGACTACAGACGTAGACCGGCAGGCGACAGTCGGGAATTACCCAAACACAGCGTCTCAGTCAGAAGACTGGCATTACTCAACTCCACCTGCATGGGAGCCATCAACCAAATTCTCGACGAGAGTGACAGCAGACGTAGACCGGCAGACGACAGTCGGGAATTACCCAAGCACAGCGTCTCAGTCAGAAGACTGGCATCAATCAACTCCACCTGCATGGGAGCCATCAACCAAATTCTCGACGAGAGTGACAGCAGACGTAGACCGGCAGGCGACAGTCGGGAATTACCCAAACACAGCGTCTCAGACAGAAGACTGGCATCAATCAACTCCACCTGCATGGGAGCCATCAACCAAATTCTCGCCGGGAGTGACTACAGACGTAGACCGGCAGGCGACAGTCGGGAATTACCCAAACACAACGTCTCAGACAGAAGACTGGCATCAATCAACTCCACCTGCATGGGAGGCATCAACCAAATTCCCGACGAGAGTGACAACAGACGTAGACCGGCAGACGACAGTCGGGAATTACCCAAACACAGCGTCTCAGACAGAAGACTGGCATCAATCAACTCCACCTGCATGGGAGGCATCAACCAAATTCTTGCCGGGAGTGACTACAGACGTAGACCGGCAGGCGACAGTCGGGAATTACCCAAACAGAGCGTCTCAGACAGAAGACTGGCATCAATCAACTCCACCTGCATGGGAGGCATCAACCAAATTCCCGACGAGAGTGACAACAGGCGTAGACCGGCAGACGACAGTCAGGAATTACCCAAGCACAGCGTCTCAGTCAGAAAACTGGCATTACTCAACTCCTCCTGCTTGGGAAGCATCAACCAAATTCCCGACGAGAGTGACAACAGACGTAGACCGACAGACGACAGTCGGGAATTACCCAAACAGAGCGTCTCAGTCAGAAGACTGGCATCAATCAACTCCACCTGCATGGGAGGCGTCAACCAAATTCCCGACGAGAGTGACAACAGACGTAGACCGGCAGACGACAGTCGGGAATTACCCAAGCACAGCGTCTCAGTCAGAAAACTGGCATTACTCAACTCCTCCTGCTTGGGAAGCATCGACCGAATTCCCGACCAGAGTGACAACAGACGTAGACCGACAGACGACAGTCGGGAATTACCCAAACAGAGCGTCTCAGTCAGAAGACTGGCATCAATCAACTCCACCTGCATGGGAGGCGTCAACCAAATTCCCGACGAGAGTGGCAACAGACGTAGACCGGCAGACGACAGTCGGGAATTACCCAAGCACAGCGTCTCAGTCAGAAAACTGGCATCAATCAACTCCACCTGCATGGGAGGCATCAACCAAATTCCCGACGAGAGTGACAACAGACGTAGGCCGGCAGACGACAGTCGGGACTTACCCAAACACAGCGTCTCAGTCAGAAAACTGGCATTACTCAACTCCTCCTGCTTGGGAAGCATCAACCATATTCCAGACGAGAGTGACTACAGACGTAGACCGGCAGACGGCAGTCGAAAATTACCCAAGCACAGCGTCTCAGTCGGAAAACTGGCATTACTCAACTCCTCCTGCTTGGGAAGCATCAACCAAATTCCCGACGAGCGTGACTACAGACGTAGACCGGCAGACGACAGTCAGGAATTACCCAAACACAGCGTCTCAGTCAGAAAACTGGTATTACTCAACTCCTCTTGCTTGGGAAGCATCAACCAAATTCCCGACGGGAGTGACAACAGACGTAGACCGGCAGACGACAGTCGGGAATTACCCAAACACAGCGTCTCAGTCAGAAAACTGGCATTACTCAACTCCTCCGGCTTGGGAAGCATCAACCAAATTCCAGACGAGAGTGACAACAGACGTAGACCGGCAGACGACAGTCGGGAATTACCCAAACACAGCGTCTCAGTCAGAAGACTGGCATCAATCAACTCCACCTGCATGGGAGGCATCAATCAAATTCCCGACGAGAGTGACTACAGACGTAGACCGGCAGACGACAGTCGGGAATTACCCAAACACAGCGTCTCAGTCAGAAGACTGGCATCAATCAACTCCACCTGTATGGGAGGCATCAACCAAATTCCCGACGAGAGTGACTGCAGACGTAGACCGGCAGGCGACAGTCGGGAATTACCCAAGCACAGCGTCTCAGTCAGAAAACTGGCATTACTCAACTCCTCCTGCTTGGGAAGCATTAACCAAATTCCCGACGAGAGTGACAACAGACGTAGACCGGCAGACGACAGTCGGGAATTACCCAAACACAGCGTCTCAGTCAGAAGACTGGCATCAATCAACTCCACCTGCATGGGAGGCATCAACCAAATTCCCGACGAGAGTGACTACAGACGTAGACCGGCAGGCGACAGTCGGGAATTACCCAAACACAGCGTCTCAGTCAGAAGACTGGCATCAATCAACTCCACCTGCGTGGGAAGCATCAACCAAATTCCCGACGAGAGTGACTACAGACGTAGACCGGCAGACGACAGTCGGGAATTACCCAAACACAGCGTCTCAGTCAGAAGACTGGCATCAATCAACTCCACCTGCATGGGAGGCATCAACCAAATTCCCGACGAGAGTGACTACAGACGTAGACCGGCAGGCGACAGTCGGGAATTACCCAAACACAGCGTGTCAGTCAGAAGACTGGCATCAATCAACTCAACCTGCATGGAAGGTATCAACCAAATCCTCGACGAGAGTGACTACAGACGTAGACCGACAGACGACAGTCGGGAATTACCCAAACACAGCGTCTCAGTCAGAAGACTGGCATCAATCAACTCCACCTGCATGGGAGGCATCAACCAATTTCCCGACGAGAGTGACTACAGACGTAGACCGGCAGACGACAGTCGGGAATTACCCAAACACAGCGTCTCAGTCAGAAGACTGGCATCAATCAACTCAACCTGCATGGGAGGCATCAACCAAATTCCCGACGAGAGTGACTACAGACGTAGACCGGCAGACGACAGTCGGCAATTACGCAACCACAGCGTCTCAGTCAGAAGACTGGCATGAATCAACAACTCCACCTGCATGGGAGTCATCAAACAAATTCCTGACGAGAGTGACTACAGACGTAGACCGGCAGACGACAGTCGGGAATTACCCAAACACAGCGTCTCACTCAGAAGACTGGCATGAATCGACAACTCCACCTGCATGGGAGGCATCAACCAATTTCCCGACGAGAGTGACTACAGACGTAGACCGGCAGGCGACAGTCAGGAATTACCCAAGCACAGCGTCTCAGTCAGAAGACTGGCATGAATCAACGACTCCACCTGCATGGGAGGCATCAACCAAGTTCCCAAAGAGAGTGACTACATTCGTAGACCGGCAGACGACAGTCGGGAATTACCCAAACACAGCGTCTCAGTCAGAAGACTGGCATCAATCAACTCCACCTGCATGGGAGGCATCAACCAAATTCCCGACGAGAGTGACTACAGACGTAGACCGGCAGGCGACAGTCGGGAATTACCCAAACACAGCGTCTCACTCAGAAGACTGGCATGAATCAACAACTCCACCTGCATGGGAGGCATCAACCAATTTTTCGACGAGAGTGACTACAGACGCAGACCGGCAGACGACAGTCGGCAATCACGCAACCACAGCGTCTCAGTCAGAAGACTGCCATGAATCAACGACTCCACCTGCATGGGAGGCATCAACCATATTCCCAAAGAGAGTGACTACATACGTAAACCGGCAGACGGCAGTCGGGAATTACCCAAACACAGCGTCTCAGTCAGAAGACTGGCATCAATCAACTCCACCTGCATGGGAGGCATCAACCAAATTCCCGACGAGAGTGACTACAGACGTAGACCGGCAGACGACAGTCGGGAATTACCCAAGCACAGCGTCTCACTCAGAAGACTGGCATGAATCAACAACTCCACCTGCATGGGAGGCATCAACCAATTTCCCGACGAGAGTGACTACAGACGTAGACCCGCAGACGACAGTCGGCAATTACGCAACCACAGCGTCTCAGTCAGAAGACTGGCATGAATCAACAACTCCACCTTCATGGGAGTCATCAAACAAATTCCCGACGAGAGTGACTACAGACGTAGACCGGCAGACGACAGTCGGGAATTACCCAAACACAGCGTCTCACTCAGAAGACTGGCATGAATCAACAACTCCACCTGCATGGGAGGCATCAACCAATTTCCCGACGAGAGTGACTACAGACGTAGACCGGCAGGCGGCAGTCGTGAATTACCCAAACACAGCGTCTCAGTCAGAAGACTGGCATCAATCAACTCCACCTGCATGGGAGGCATCAACCAAATTCCCGACGAGAGTGACTACAGACGTAGACCGGCAGGCGACAGTCCGGAATTACCCAAGCACAGCGTCTCACTCAGAAGACTGGCATGAATCAACAACTCCACCTGCATGGGAGGCATCAACCAATTTTTCGACGAGAGTGACTACAGACGTAGACCGGCAGACGACAGTCGGCAATCACGCAACCACAGCGTCTCACTCAGAAGACTGCCATGAATCAACGACTCCACCTGCATGGGAGGCATCAACCATATTCCCAAAGAGAGTGACTACATACGTAAACCGGCAGACGGCAGTCGGGAATTACCCAAACACAGCGTCTCAGTCAGAAGACTGGCATCAATCAACTCCACCTGCATGGGAGGCATCAACCAAATTCCCGACGAGAGTGACTACAGACGTAGACCGGCAGACGACAGTCGGGAATTACCCAAGCACAGCGTCTCACTCAGAAGACTGGCATGAATCAACAACTCCACCTGCATGGGAGGCATCAACCAATTTCTCGACGAGAGTGACTACAGACGTAGACCGGCAGACGACAGTCGGCGATTACGCAACCACAGCGTCTCAGTCAGAAGTCTGGCATGAATCAACAACTCCACCTTCATGGGAGTCATCAAACAAATTCCCGACGAGAGTGACTACAGACGTAGACCGGCAGACGACAGTCGGGAATTACCCAAACACAGCGTCTCACTCAGAAGACTGGCATGAATCAACAACTCCACCTGCATGGGAGGCATCAACCAATTTCCCGACGAGAGTGACTACAGACGTAGACCGGCAGGCGGCAGTCGGGAATTACCCAAACACAGCGTCTCAGTCAGAAGACTGGCATCAATCAACTCCACCTGCATGGGAGGCATCAACCAAATTCCCGACGAGAGTGACTACAGACGTAGACCGGCAGGCGACAGTCGGGAATTACCCAAACACAGCGTCTCACTCAGAAGACTGGCATGAATCAACAACTCGACCTGCATGGGAGGCATCAACCAATTTCCCGACGAGAGTCAGTACAGACGTAGACCGGCAGACGACAGTCGGCAATTACGCAACCACAGCGTCTCAGTCAGAAGACTGCCATGAATCAAGGACTCCACCTGCATGGGAGGCATCAACCGAATTCCCCAAGAGAGTGACTACATACGTAGACCGGCAGACGACAGTCGGGAATTACCAAAACACAGCGTCTCAGTCAGAAGACTGGCATCAATCAACTCCACCTGCATGGGAGGCATCAACCAAATTCCCGACGAGAGTGACTACAGACGTAGACCGGCAGGCGACAGTCGGGAATTACCCAAGCACAGCGTCTCAGTCAGAAGACTGGCATGAATCAACAACTCCACCTGCATGGGAGGCATCAACCAAATTCCCGACGAGAGTGACAACAAACGAAGACCGACAGACGACAGGCTGGACTGACCAGAACACAGCGCATCAGTCAGGAGAAGGGGAAGACACAGGAACAGCGTTTGTATGGAACGAACCATCCGTATTTCCAAAGAAAATTACCACAGACATCGAAAGGCAAACGACAGAGTGGAGTGAGCCGATAACAGCTACGGAGAGAGCCGAATGGGAGAGCACAGTTTTCGATTACTCAGGCTTTGGGTCTCAGGGAACGGAGCCAACCGGAAATGTGAGGGAAGTGACCGACGTATCTTTGCCGATAACAGGGACCAGGAGTGCTAAAAGGACGTCGTGCAATCCGGAGAATGACGAGCGTGTTGTGCACGAGACTGATTGTTCCAAGTTTTATCACTGCGTTAGGGGAGCGAGAGTGGTTGGCGTCTGTCCCACGCCCACAGTATTCGATCCCAAACGACAGGTCTGTGACTGGCCGGGTATTGTGAACAGGCCTGAATGCTTATCTGTTTCTTGAATAAACCTCGGTATTCATGAAGTGTTTTGTACGAATTGCGTTAATGTCTAGTTACTCTTACGTTTCTGCTTAGATTGTTATAAACTATTTATTTTATATCGCACCTCTTTCCCCCACCACAGAATGAGCAAGCTGAACAATTGACAAAGGTTACGCTGTCTTCCTTCCTGTTTCCTTGCCCCCTAATTCCTTTGTCCTAATGAATCTGAGGCGAAAAAATATTTATTTGAAAGCGTGCCTCTGAATATCAGCAATCACACCCATTACAAAGAGCAGAAGATATGCGGGCGCAAGAACGCGAAGGAACTGTTTTTTTTTTTTTTAGATATCGTAGCTGCTCAGTTTGCTCTGTGGCAACCTGGGATGTGATTGTTACGAAACAATTTGCTCGTCTATTGTAGCATCTTGATGAATGTTTGATCTTATTACTTCATCTTCTGGGGCGAGAAAGATGGAATGGGGAATACTCGTGTTTTCTCTGTCTAGGAAAAATGATTATCTCTGACAAGTTGGCCTAATTGTGTTGGATTGATTATAAAATCATGGATGTCTTCTAATATACCTCCGTTAAAAAAGAGCACCTGGTGTACAGCACCAGGAATTGATCCGAAATTTGATTTCACAGCTTCAATTTGGTTTCTTGAACATATGTTCTGGATGATTACAATTCTTGTTTTAGTACATATTAATAGTGTTTAAGTGGAAGAGTTCTCAGTGCTTAAGATATATACATTTCTTTCATTTTAAAGGAGAAACGGCGAAACATTGCTAGTGGTTAATTTTCGTAAACAAATTCGAGGACACCTAAGTACTTCTTCTGAGTTTTGAATTGGAAAGCGTGAATGTCCTTCTTCCGCTAACTTAGTTCGTTTGCGGTGTACTGAATCTGCGGTGTACGTTTCGCTACTGGGGCCGGCATTATCATCTGGGTATTACGCAGATTGGCTTCGTCTTACGGCAAAAAGAAAACGTAGCAGCGACCGAAGCAACGTTAGTGGCAGCTATGACGGAAAATAGGAGACGATCTGGTTTGATCATGGAAGAGGCACTCGAAGAGACGATAATAATTGACCGCTGCGAAGTTTTTCTTTGACAGTGAGGACGCGGTGTTTTCTGAGGTGAATCCACCGGCTCAATTCGTTCACCTTCTTGTTGGGATGTATATTAAGATCTAAATTACTTACCTATTTCTGTTAGACATATCAAACATTTGTTTCTACTCCTGAAACTTAGTAAGCTTAACATTGACCCAACCGTTTTATCCTGGATTAGAGACTTTCTAACAAATCGATCGCAATTTGTCTTCACTCATCAAGCTAATTCTCACCTCAGTTTTTTCACCTCAGGCGTCTCACAGGGGTCCGTCTTAAGTTATCTTTTATTTCTAATCTACATAAATGACTTAACTCAAATTCTGTCTTCCTTTGTTAGTCTGTTTGCGGACGATTGTGTCATCTATCGTGAAATCACTAATAACTCCGATGTTCAACTTCTTCTGACAGAGACATTGTTTTGGACTGGTAAAACACGTGGTGTATATCTCTTCACATTAACAAATGCAAAGCGATGCGTGTATCTCGACGTAACTCATCACTACCTTCACACACTCTTGGTACCTTCTCCTTGGAAATCGTAGCTTCCTTCAGATATCTTGGAGTTCATACTACAGATAACATGTCATGGAACGTTCACATTGAGCATATCACTGCTAACGCTAACTCCATGCTCAGTTACTTAAAACCGAAATTTGCTTTAGCACCGATGTCACTGAAATTACTTTTATTCAAAACCCTGGTACGCTATAAATTGGAGTTCACTGCAGCAATCTGGGATCCCGGTCACACCACGCTCGTATCTAACATTGAAGCCAGTCAGAACCGTGGCGCGCGGTTTCTCTTTTGTAATTATCATCGTTCAGCCAGTGTGTCATCCATGAAATCTAACTTATCTTTACCCCTTCTTTCTCTGCGCCGTAAAGTATCTCGTCCATCGCTTTTTCATAAAATTTACCACTCTATCCCTACTCTAAAAAAAAAACTTATTCTCCGTCCCCCGCACATCTCCTATCGCCTTGATCATCAGCATAAAGTTGGAATTCCCCAGTGTCGCACCTCCGCCTATCTCGACTCTTTTATTCCCAGGTCATCATCGTAGTGGTGCCACCTTCCCTCATTTTTAGTATCTATATCATCGTTTGATTCTTTTCTCTTGTTAAATTTTTGTATTTATTTTCATATTGTATTATGTCTTGTTACTTGCCTCTTTCCTCTGTAATGGCCTTGGGCCTTGAGGGTACTGAAATAAATAATTAAATAAATAATGCGGGGCGGAAAACGTTTCCAATCAGTCTAACACCTTCTTCCGCGGCACAGAAAAACACAAGACGCACCAAGTCGCATACCAAGCACTTTGGAGCACCCAAACACCACACCCAACGTGGGAGTGGCGCCCCGAAGAAAGTCTTCGCCAACGTTTCCAACCACTCAACATGACCGCGAAACCTGACGATGGCTAGATGGCGCTACACTACTGAAAATGGCGCTACCCACTCCCTGACGTCACGCCACTGCGGTGGCGCTGAGGTCGGCATTGCGCATGCGCATATGCCTCAGAAGACTCTGGTTCCTGCGCAGGCGCCGTGCCCACACCAGTTGTTTTATTTCGTTTTATACAGTGTGTTGGACGACACGCTGGGGAGACTTACGGCAGGATACCACTACGTGTCACCACAGCAACCTAGCGCTATACGTCGCTTGGTTGTCGTAGAAAATCTTCATTTCAGGCGCTTCTGTGTCAGCGGGACTTTACGCGCCACGTCAAGGGTGCGAATCCATGCGCAATAAAAATAAACTCCGACACGCACAACCTTTGCTCCTTTTTTTTAAAAAAGATATTTTCTACCTGTTTGTCAAACGTCCTGTAGCCTCATTCGCGCGTAGTACAATTCAAAACTAAACGAAGAGAATAATAATACAAATAATAATAAAAAAGTTCGGAACACACAATAGTCGCGTTAACTCCTTTTCGAGAGAAAGCAACCATGGCGAGTCAGGGTGAGGTCACGCACCCCCGACGAACGCCGTAAAATCGTTCTACCCGGTCGCACAGCGTAACAAGAAGTAACTCACCCCTCTCGCAACCAAGAATAAAAAGAAGAAATGCATCAATTGGCGGCCCGACTCACTGACACTGACACTGTTCGCAGTGAACCACTTCCTTTCCTGTTAGTCGGTGATGACGTCAGTGTGTCCAGACTGACGAGTGGGCGGGGCACTCCTTTTCCCGCTTGCATTCCTCCCAAATCAGCCCCCTGACAAAACTGGAATTTGGATACGGCTCACCGAATCCTTGTAAAAGGGAGGGAGGGGCGACGACTGGAGCCAGGACTGCTATAAAAGCGGCCGACACGGCCTATGGAGGCTATTCGTATCCGGTCCCAGCGTACACTGACAAGTATGTTTGCGCAGGTGAGTCCTCGAGTACGCAGAAAACTGAAAGGAGGATTTGAGCTTCATGGGTTACAAGTGGATGGTGATATGGAGACAGCTTGTTTGACCGATTGGTCGCACTCGGGTGCAAGGTGTCATGGCATTTGTTCTTACTTGCTTACTTGCACATCGCTGACGTGGTAACTTATTAGCGACCTCTCGGTCATCATTACAAATGAACATCTATGAAAATGGAAGCTCAGCAGTCGATAAGAGACTCGACCTCGTTCTTACCTCGAATCCTGTATGTTATGGAGACTGCAGTGTGCGACGAGAGGTTCTTTATGACATACGAGGTGATATCAAAGAGTTTACAAACTCGTTCAACATAAACAAACGAGATGGCTTCACGTCTTATTGGCTGCCATATCGGTCAATGTAGTCCCCTTTGGAGGTAATGCAACGTTCCTCACGAGTCTGCCTTTGTTGGAATGCCTTCTAGAAGTCCTATTTCTTTTGGATGTTCAAGAGAACTCTCCCGTGTTCCTGAATCTCTTCAGCGGAGACGAATCTCTATCTCTCAAGGTTCATGCTTAATTTAGGAAAGATGAAAAAGACACAAATGGCAAAGTCGGGACAATGTGAGAGACGCTAACCATGTTTCTGCGGGCCAGAAAGAGATGCACCTTGAACAACGCATGGGTTGGGATAATGTCACGCTGAATCATCCAGTTGCCAGCCGCCCGCACATCTGGGCACTTCAGCATCAAAAGGACCCGCGGACATTTCAGAACAGCAACGTTCTCGTCTGCGTTGTCTCCAGATTAGGATACCTGCGACTTTCATCTTTCCTAAGATGAAAGTGAGCCTCAAGGCAGAAGGATTCAGCTCAATCGAAAAGGGTTCAGTAAGAGACGAGAAATATCTCAACTAGCCCGAAGAAGGAGGACTTGTAGAACGCCTTCCAAACAATGGCAAACTCACAGGGACTATTGCCGGAGCTTATTGGGACTTCCAAAGGCGACTGCACTGAGGGAGATGGCCGTTCATAAACCTTAAAACAGTCACTGACAACCCCACCATCGATATTTTTGTTTAATATTGCAAACGAATGAAGATGATTCCTAGAAATCGCAATAGAAATACCAAGCTTTGAACTGCGTAGTTGCAGAGAAAATACAAAATTTTCGGAAAGCTTGATTGGAAACGACCGCGAAATGGTGCATTCTTTGCTTTTATGAGTGACGTTAAACAAAAAAACGTCATTTATCTTTCTCTATATCTCGCTCAACGTTTATGGGCACGCGCACGGGCCACCCCCCCAACTGCAAAAGTATTTTGCAAGACATTTTTTCGCGTGAAGACGACGCGTCCCTTTTCGGTTCCTCTTTTCTTTTTAGCGGTGTTAGTCGGTCTAAAACGATTTTTAAAAGGTAAGAAAGAAAACTATCTGTAGCAGCCCGAGGTCAGCGATGTGAGGGATGATGTCGCAAAGGTGCAAGAGATTACTAAAAAAAAACTATCCAGCTACTGAAAAAAAAAAAAAAAAAAAAAAAAAACTCGTCTGAGCCGTTTTTTACTTTCCCTTCGTGCTCACGCCTCAAACGTCGCCCGATGCCGGCATAGTGAGAATATAAAGAAAAAACTAGGAGACGGCCGATGTTTCGTCATGAACGCTTCCGATCTCTGATATTTATTTTTCGAAGTCAGCATTGTAGTGCCTTTATAGTCGTCGTATAAAAAACAAATCGTATTTTAAGAATGAAAATAATAATTATTACAGAGTTACAACTTGCGATACTCCTTACCGTTTTCAAAAATACCTTCGTCAATTACGTCGAACAAAAAACAAAAAACAAAAAAAAAAACTAGCAGGAGTTTAATTTTGGGGGAGAAGGACACACACATTGAAGGGCTCATTCGCGCGCCACAAATATTTTTTTTTTTTTAGCGATGATTTGTTTTTTGTGTTTCGCCCAACGCTTTTGAAGCGCGTGAGAATATAAAAAAAAATAATATAGATCTCGGTGTTGTCAGTGGCCCTTTAAGGTAATCTCGTCTGCTTTCATAGAGAAAGTTCTGAAATTTCTTGTTACCACTAAGTCAACATAAAGCAAACTAAGCATTTAGAGAAACGAACACACACGCACAGATCACACTCTATTTCTTCACTTTAAGGAATCTGGGGTGTTCCTCTCCCGCAAGTCACCTGGGAGATCCAGTCGCTGTAATCTACTGGGCTGAAAATTGGTTTGGACATACAAGAAAGAGTCTGCGCAGTGGCACTGAGTGTGGTAAAACGTCATGTTGAATGCCAAAGCGCAGACAACTTTTTTTTATGTTTATGTTTATGTTTAGCCCAATCATTGGCCAAACTCTATCCGTAGATCGCAGCGATAGTCTTCCATAAGTGCTCTGCGGGAAAGCCGACCCTCCAGAATTCTTACAAGTTCTGTGTTTAAATCATGCACGCCTTTTTCTAAGATTTAGTTAATCTTTTTTTTTATCATATACGGCATGTCCTACAAAGTGAGTAGCAATACAAAACGAAAAACAAAAATAACAATAACCGACATGCATAGCTAGCTTTACTCTTATTTGTTCCACGTTTTTATTTTCTTGTAACCTTTGCTGTTGTGTATATGTATAAACAGGTGCCCCATGAAACAGACTTTCTATTTAAACCTATCTAAGCACAAGTTAGGCACTTATAAACTCTACGTCAACTGTTTTGTGCTACATTGTCAAAGATAGCGTAGTTTTCACTGTGAAGCAGTGCCGCACTGCTGCGAGAGCACGTGGCTTGGTCTTTTGCGCCTCATTTGCAGGCGCTCGCGCGACTAGCTTTGACAGAGTTGCAGCACTCTGGAAGCTAGGCTAGCTTTGACACCGTAGCAAAAAAATGATTGACGCCGAGTATAGACAATAGACTACTTGCATAAATCCGTCATTGCGCGCGTTGCATCTTGGGAACCTGTGGGCCAGGACGGGAGCGTGTATTGATTTCGCTTCCCATTGATTCCCACAATGCATAACGTGGCATTACGCCGGGATGAGGCTCTTTGAGCTTTGCATGGCACCCCGAATGCATGGCACCCACGTGCAGCTCGCGTGAACATAGCTTTGGCAGGTTTGAAATTGCACGGGTTTCTCTTTACGAGTAGAGACATTGCGACGGGCAATAGCCTTGCTGAATATGATTGTGCACTATCAACGGTGGGGTCACTCCACCAAGTGTTTAACTTTGCAGCGAGCAAGATCTTAGCCGTGGTACAAATATGAACGGAGATATAATCGTCACTATTCAACACTCGTAGCAGAAGATTGCATCAAGTCTGTTACAAAAGAATTCCAAGCTCCCGGTGATGTGTACACCCACTCGCAGATTGCAGTTCTTTTCGCCTTGGTGGCTCTTGGTCTCGGAGGCTATCACGGAGGACACGGCGGAACCAGCAAGCAGTACAGGAAGCAGGATGTAAGTCTTCTTTACCTATACAGGGCTAATGAAGTCTAATTTGAAAAAGAAGTTTCTCTACTAGAAAATACACATACATAAAAGCTGAAACACCTCTTATTCTTGTTTTGAAAGCAACAAAAAACTGTGGTAACTTATGAGGAGCATTCCACTGCCGGACATCAGAATGCCTGCTTTAGAGCGTTCCAATGCTTTCATTTCCACACTTCAGTGAGCAGTGCCCACGGCTTACTACGCGCTTGCTCGTCCCTTGCCAAGGTACGCGGAAACCGCATCCAGCAAAACTACCAAAGTAATATGAGCTTGTGCACTAAGCTTTTGACGTCATCACAGATAGATAAAAAAAATGGCACATATTGGACACTAGCGATGCGTCAGTGTTTGGCTGGGCTTCGTATCCAATCAACACGTCGAAGGACGCTCGGTAGCAAGCTCGGATCCGATTGCTGAGTTGTTGCAATATAGGACTGCGATGACGTTGCATGGAGGAGGAGTAGGATGTTCGAAAGACTTAATTGTTAAGGCGACCTTCTATGTGTCATCGTTCAGTCGACCTTCAAAGTCGTTGAGCGAAAACACGTCTGCGACACGAACGGTACCAAAACATTTACGTGATCACTCAGGTGAATTAGATGCAATGAAATTAAGCAAAGCGCTTTAAGAGGAATTTAATTTCTTTGAATTAAACTAAATCACGTGTCTGTCTTTAATGCATCGGCGCTTGGACTTTCGCTTTCAAGTCGTCTTAGGGGTTTACATAGGAGGCCCTGTGAATTTGCCCGAGTGTGTGGACCACACGCACTTACGCCAAATATTCATAACGGCGGAAATATGATACAGCTTTTCTGCATCAGGCGCGAGCGTCGGAACCTGAGCATAGTTTTGATATCTCGTTAAAGTGCTTCAGCATCGCGTCAGCTTCCGACGCGAAGACACAGTGAGGTCGCTCGACGAAGGAGCGGTCGTCTCTTGGTTAGAGCTTCAAAGAAAAAGGGACAGTCCGAAAAACCCCGAAATTTTTGTGCACCGGAAATAATATCAGTCCCTGACTACAGACCGCACAAAGCTTGACGTTTGGCATGCTCACGTCATGTTCCATGTCAAATCGTGGGCTTCATATTTAAGTCGAAATATTTCTTGTCACTGGTCT